GTAAGAAAAGTGTGTGTGTGTGTGCATGTGTGTGTGTGTGTGTGTGTATGTGTGTATTCATCTTGCAAGTGTGCAGTCAAGCATGTATTCATGGATCAGGCAGGACCCTGCACTCGAACCAGGGGTGCCCCTCCCAACGCCCTTGCGCGAGTAGCCCCCGCCCAGAAACCCCACGGGCCCCATGGGCCACTCGCCTTTGCGGTGAAGCGGGGCGCCGCGCCGCCGCCGGGCGCGCCCGCGGGCACGGCAGCTGCGGCGCCGCTGCAGTGGGAGAGCAGCACGTTGCTGGCCTGGGAGGGGGGGTGATGGCGGAGAGGTGTGCACTCAACGGCGGGGGCGGCGGCGGCGGCAGCGGTTGAGGACTCGCGGCCTGGTGAAGGGTGGTTGCCCGGCGCCGGCACAAACAAGTGAACGCTATCAAGGCGTGACACCCAGGCTGCCAAACACCTCGAACGGCCCCGCCAACACACAGCCCGCACCGCGCCAAGTTCACGGTGTGAATTTGCCGCGGGGTGCCCCGCGTCACCTCTCACCTTGAGGTCCCCGTGGAGCATGTTCTCACTGAGAATTCAGCAAGAAAACAAGATGAGTGATTTGGGGGTGGTCAGGGGCAGGGTCATGCCGCAGGGCGTGGGTTGGGGCGTGGGAGCCGGACTGAGAGGGGTTAGGGCTGTGCCCCCAACCCCAGGCGGCCGCGCCGAGAAGGGTGGGCGCCCCGGCCGTTCGGGCTGCCCGCGAGCGCGATCGAGGGCCCCGAGGGTGCGGCCATGAGGTGCTGCGCACTCCATCCACGCACAAAAGGTTGCATGGCTTATGGCGCACGGCGCGTGGCGCACGAAGTGCATGCAGGAGATTCATAAAGACATGCATGCATGTGGTCATAGCTGACACCAACATGCATGGGGCGGCAGCCCTGCCCCCCCACCTGTGCAGGTGCAGCATGGCAACCGCCACGTCGTGCGCCAGTGACACCACGTAGTCAAGGTCCGTCAGCCCCACGTCACCGCTGACGTCACCCGCGCCGCCGCTGATGTCACTGCCGCTCGCATTGGCGTCAGCGCCGCCGCCGGGGCCGCCGATGCCGCGGGCGGCAAGCAGTCCGCAGTCTAGGGCGGAGCGGAGGGACCCCTCCTCGCAGTGCTGTCGGGATGCCGTCACAGTGATGTCATAGTGACAACAACAGGGGGGTGATGGGGGTGATGAGGAGAGATGACGAGGATAGGCGTTTCAGTGGGGTTTTGCAGCAGGGCAGGAGGGGCGGGTGGGTGCTGATGTTGAGGGCCTTGGTAAGGGTGCATATGACATCAGCATGACATCATAGCACGATCCAACGAAGGGCCGCGCTGCAGGGATTCATGCCGCAGCTGGGCCGCCAGTGCCGAAAGCACGCAGCCGGACGGCAGCCGCCCCCAAGCCAAAGATGCCGGCGCGCGCGGAATTCACTAGAGCGGCAACCCCCTGCACCCACGCACGCATGCGCACACTCACATGCACACATGCGCGCGCAAACATGCCCAGCCCCTGCCTTTGCGTGACGGGCAGCCCACCTCCATTACTAAACGCAGCTCCCACCCGGCCGGCCCCGCTGTGCTTGCGCCCGTGGCGCCGGCAGCATCCCAGGCACCCCGCTCGCCCGCCCCCTGGGGCGCCCCGAGGGGGGTGATGTAGTAATGATACACCTGGACCAGTTCGTGATTGGGGGTGGGTGTTTTTGGGGGGAAAGGGTGGTGCCGGGCACATGGACACCACTAGGGGTGGCTGAGGGGGACGCGCATTCTGCAGTGCTCAGGATTGCAGGTTCTCATCAGAGCGGATCAAATAGATTGAGTCCTTCCAAACTGCCAGGGCTGTGCATGCACGCGGCGTTGGGGTGGCTGAGGGCGTTGCCCAAGAGACTGCAGTGCGGGGGGACAGGGTTGACTTGGGGCCACACACAGTCCCCAGCTGACGCAAGGCTGGCTCCTCCCAATCCGTGACAATGCCCAGGCGTGTGAGGGCGCCAGACGACACAGAGTTTCACACGCACACACGTGCACACACACACACACACCCCACACGCGCGCGCACACACACACACACATACACACATATACACACGCTTGCGCGCGCAGAAACTCACCTGCACAATGTTGGGGTGGCTGAGGGTGCTGCTGACCACGGCCTCCATCACCGCCATGCGCTCGTATGCAACAGCTGACGTGCCGCAGCCGCCGCCGCCCAGGAGGGCGCCGCCGCCGCGGCCGCTGCTGCCTGCCTGCGACTCCGATTGGAGCGGGACCACCTGCGAGCGTGGGCACGGCGCGGCGGGTGCATTGGGAAGTGTGAGGGCTCGTCGGCGGCGGGCGCTCGGGCGTCGCGACTCCGCGGCCGCACACACACACACACACACACACACGAACACACACACACACATACACACACGCGCGCGCGCACACACACATATACTCTCTCTCTCTCTCTCTCTCTCTCTCTCTCTCTCTCTCTCTCTTTTCCTCTCTCACACACACCTTGACCGCCACGTAGCGCCCCCGCCACACCGCCTTGTAGACAGATGAGAAAGTGCCCCGCCCAATGAGGTCCAGCAGCTGCAGCGCCTGGGGCGGCCCCAGCTGCGCCGCGCCCGGGGCCGCCGGGGCCGCGCGGGGGCCTCCGGGGCCGGGCAGGCGCTGAAGATGGTGCTCGTTTTCGGTGGGCGTCGCGCCGCCTGCTGGTGGGAGGTGATGGGCGTCAGGCAGGGCCTGCAGCGCGGCGATCCCGAGGTCAAAGTCAAAGGCGTAAGCGCCTGCGACTGGCAAGGGGCCACGCCGCGCAGCAGCAGCGCCGGCGCTGGCGCCGGGGAGGGGGCTGCTGGCGTCGCCGCCACGCTGCTGCTGCTGCTGCTGCAGAGGGGGTGGCGCCAGGCGTCTGTCCAGAATCTGCCGCTGCATCGAGGAAATGGCGGACTGAACGCTCCGCCACGGATCCCGCCCCGCGCCCCTCTCCGCGCCGGCCCCGGTCTGCCCGACTGCGCCAGGGGACCGCGGCGGCGGCGGCGCGGCGGGCGCGGCGCGTGCGGCGTCTGAGGAGCTGCCGCCGGACGCGGCCGCCGACGCGGCGGCGGCGGACGCGGAGGCGGAGGGGGACGTGCCCAGGGAGGTGGAGGGATCGCCGGCCGCGGCCGAGGCTGACGCGGCGCCGCCGTCGGACGCGGGGGCTGCGGCCGCGACGGCGGCGGGCGGCAGGCGGCGGTCGGCCGCGACCTGCGCCCCCATCCCC